ATTTTTGTTCTGTGAGTTCATAAATTGGGAACTTGAGAAGTAAGAACGCTCAAATCTTAGAGAGATGTCCCCTATCCAAGTCGGCACTGATGCACTGAAAACCACTCCCCAGGTAAGCGTGGCAGCCGCGTGAGGATCCGCCAAGTTTTTCTCGGTGAGTTCATAACTCGGGAATTTGAGAAGCAAGAACGCCCAAATCTCAGCGTGATGTTCCCCATCGAGGTCCGTGTTGATGGTCTGAAACCCATATGCTAGGTATGCGCGGTAGCCGCGTACGGGCCTACCAAATTTTTTCTCGGTGAGTTCATAACTGGGGAATTTGAGAAGCTAGAACGCTGAAACATTAGGCAAATGTTCCCCTACCAAGTCTGTGTTGATGCACTGAAAACTATCCCCCAGATAAGCACTGGTAGCTGCGTACGGGCCCGCCAAATTTTTTATCGGTGAGTTCATAACTCGGGAATTTGAGAAGCTGGAACGCCCAAATCTCAGCGTGATGTTCCCCATCCCAATCTGGGTTGATGCCCTGAAACGCATCTACCAGGTTGGCGTGGTAGCCGCGTACGGGGCCGCCAAAGTTTTTTTCGGTGAGTTCATAACTCGGAAATTTGAGAAGCTAGAACGCTGAATTCGTAGGGTGATGTTCCCCATTCGTAGGGTGATGTTCCCCATCTTCAGGTCTGTTGACTTGTTGTATTTGATGTTAGTAAGACGAAGCGTCGTGCTAAAGGATTCCCGCAGTTCTACAACCACTTTCAAAAAGGGGGTTCGTTCATGACGGAGCACTACGAATCGGGTAACGACTACAAGGTGCCGGAAAGTAGTGTTTGTGGCGGAGTCCTTCATGTTATAACTGTGGCGGGAGTGTCGCGGAAAACTGGTGAAGAACTGGCAGAGATGTGAGTGTGAACGGGTTCGATTCCTTTCCGGTCCGTGACCATCTTCGTGTCGTGGACGAAACTCCTTTTCTAAGTTGATTATGGACCGATAGGAGATCTAGCTACTCCTCACGTGACATGGCTACTCACTACATTTCCGACTACGCGCACTTTTTCGGGGTTCCTACCTCTTTTTTGTATGGCACTGCCATACATTGTATTTCTGTAGTATGGTTTTGTCAGTAAAAATTTTAAAAGTAGAAGATAAATTTTCTCTTACGGTTGTCTGGATCGATTAGCTAACTCGAATGTTTGTGTCCTGTGTATGTGGAAAGCCTAATTCCGAGATCGGTGACATGGTTGTCGGCCAACCACTGGAGAGCGTTTCGAATATGAATCAGTGGTAGACGTTTCGCGTGTTCGGTAAATTTTCTCTAAGTGTTGCAAAAAATATGGCTAACTACTTCAGAATTTTTTTTGGAAGGGCCGATTTCGGATGATACGTGCGGCGGCAACCCGGTGCTTCCGAATGCATCTGGCACACGTTGGAAACGTAGTATCTTCTCATCCACGAATGAATCACTCCTTACCGATGTGATCATATTGCTGGCCGGCAAACTTTATCCGTTCGAACTGCTACATCTTCGGGAGAAACAAAATTCCAATATTTCGACGACTCAGTTGAATCGTGCTGGTTTCTTTTTGAAATACTAAAACGGGAGATTTATGAATTACGAGACAAATATACAATAGGCAAATGGAGAAGTAGTCTGTAAACACAGTGAAAGCAAAGCATAGGGATAGAGGTGTGACTTAGCAGTACAGAATCGCAATTCCAGTGTAGTGAGCCTAATTCGGAGTCTTTGAGACTAGAATCATTAGGTAAAAAAATAAGGACCTTGAATATTTTAGTCAGTGTTTATTTTAAAAATAAAAGCGAGTATAGATCAAAAGTAGGAGAGTGCTCTGTTGCCGCCAAGTGCCTCATTATAGACTAAGAGTATGTTAACGAGGAAGAAATTGCTCTTTGTTGGCAGCACGGTCACACACTCGGACTTATTAGTTACTCTGAAACAACTGGTTTTGGTCTTCGAGATCCCCTCAATACTTATTTGGCTTTGTCTTCTCTCTAAAGAAACCATTGTAAGAATTTAATAAATGGTCTCACCGACTGCCGGCGCGGAGATGCGTTTTTTGCATAGTTCTCCGCAAGTTTTTGTCACTAACGGCGCCAGTTTTTACAGCAGATGCTTCCAGTTAAATATACTAAGATTGGCCGCCAGAACTGTTGGGAAACGCCTCCTCAAAATCCTAACTTTTTAGCTTTGCTGGCTTCTGAGTCAACAACTTACCCTCTAAAAATTTTCACTAGCCAGCACGTGAGAAACACGTGTAATGGGAGCAGAGCTCGAAGCCATTAAGTCCTATGCGGATCGGGAGCATCTTAAAATTCCAGTTCTCTGACTTTTCAGCTTCCCAAGTTAGCAATTTACCCGCAAAAAGCCTTCACGGGTTCGTGCGTGAGAGCTACATCGGTAAGGGCGACCATTTTAGGGGTGGTGGCCCGCACGTACACGCTTAAATTGAGCTCCCGAAGTTTCAGATTTGTAGTTTTTGCGGGTCTCGAGCATATGTGACAGTAATCCAATCTACGTGAATTGCACCATGTACACGATGATTTGCATATATTTTGTCGATGCTCTATAAAAGTTCATCTGGCAAGAAGATTGTTCATTTTTTTATTTAGTCACTCTACTAACCGGTGGTTTCCATCCAATCACATACTAACAGTCCCGGCAACAACAGCCGAAGAAAACCGGAGATGCCGCGTCGCAGCGTACGATTAGGGTCACGTCGCAGCAGATCACGAAGTCGAAGGAGTAGATTACGCCGCAGCGTATCCGTCAGACGCCACCGGTATTCGGCAGATTCAGCGACAATACGAAATATTAAAAGCATTCTTCGAGCTAAAAGTTTGTTACGAAGAAGCCGAAGATCTCGAAAGCGTAGCAGACCACGTCGACGTTTCGGATCACGCCGTCGCCGCTCCTATTCACGTCCTCGCCGAATCCATCGTTCTCGTTCTCGACGTTCCAGCTCTCGTGTTCACCGCCGTCGTCGATACCGCCGTTCCCGTTCTCCATCCAGACTACGAAGCAAATTTTCTTATTTTGCAATCCTCAAGTAATTATACACAGTTTATACCTACGTCAAAAATTAATCTCAAAAATAGCCTGTCGAATTGCATATTATTTTGCAGTGATAAAAGCTACGGTAAAAAAAAAAAAAGATATTTCAGACCAATGAAAAGCTGGAGAGGCGGATGCAGACGTAGTCGTCGCTGCTGAATTAATCTGGATAAAAAACATGGACTAACTAATGCTTTTTTAACTAACATCTCGCGGTATGGCTTTATCCAATTAATAACTTTTTTTTCTGAAGTAGAAGAATAGAAGGATTTCACTTGAATCGCATGTGTATGAAGACATTTTAGATGAAGTCTGTGTTTCATCCCTTAGTTTAATATTACGAAAAACAGGACTAGTTCCTATATCCCACGTTGTTAGTATTAAAGTAATGACTGCTGTCATTAGGCTCCTTTGAATCGACAACTTTTTCTTGAGAATCTGCTTAGAAAGCAAGTGATAGGCATTTATCAAGTTCAAAATATTATTGAACCGAGTAAAACAAGGTATAAAATGCCCAGCATGACCTTGAAAAGTAGTTGCACCGCATTGCTCCGCTTCCAGATAGTCGAACCTAACAGATTAACTGTAACTTTTTTTTACATTTATGCAACGCAAAAATACACATTGTGGAGGGGTTTCTTTTTGCTAAAAATGAGGATTAATTACCCAAGCTTGAGTTATTGGTAATTTTCAGATGGAATTTTACGAATCCTGAATCAAATCGTAATAACAGAATGACTACTGATTAAATTTCCTCCGAATATGTGGTGCACGCAGTCAGGGAAGGCAAACAGAAAGAAAAACAAAGATGGCAAAATCAATGGGAAATCCGGCTAAAACACTAGTGATAAAACTGATTTACCGCACGCCATTATATGTACTGAATGAATGATGTCAATAAACAATATAAACTAACAAACGACAAGCTAATAAACAAACTGAATTTCGCGCTAAATATCTGGGAAACCTTTCGAGGTTTTTCGCATTCTGTGGCTGAGAAAGTGAGCGATTACAAAACTATTTTTACAGCTCACTTTTATTCGAACTTCTTGTACAGCGCTGTTCTTTAATTGAATTCTAATTCAATTATTTGCTGCTAGTCCTACCGAAAACGAAAGCTACCGCGTGCTAGTGAAAAAAAAACGAACG